TCTTCTGCCTCTGCCTCTGCCTCTGCCTCCTGAGTAGCTGGGATTACAGGTGTGTGCCACCATGTCCAGCTAATTTTGTATTTTTAGTAGAGATGGGGGTTTCACCATGTTGGCCAGGCTGGTTTCGAATTCCTGACATCAGGTGGTCCACCTGTCTCAGCATCCCAGGGGATTACAGGCATGAGCCACTGTGCCTGGCTATGTTTGTCTGTTCATCCTTCCATCTTTCTGTCCTTCTGTCCGTCCTTCCTTGCTTCCCTCCCTCCCTCCTTCCTTCTCTCCCTCCCTCCCTCCTTCCCTCATTTCTTCCTTCCCCCCTCCCTCCCTTCCTCCCTCTCCTCCCTTCAAGTTCTGGGATACATGTGCAGAATGTGCAGGTTTGTTACATAGGTATACATGCGCCATGGTGATTTGCTGCACCCATCAACCTATCATCTAGGTTTTAAGTTCTGCATGCATTAGATATTTGTCCTAATGCTCTCCCTTCCCTGGCTCCCCCACCCCCCGACAGGCCTCAATGTGTGATGTTCCCCTCCCTATGTCCAAGTGTTCTCATAGTTCAACTCCCACTTATGAGTGAGAACATGCAGTGTTTGGTTTTCTGTTCCTGTTTTAGTTTGCTGAGAATGATGGCTTCCAGTTTCATCCATGTCCCTAAAAAGGACATGAACTCATTCTTTTTTAGGGCTGCATAGTATTGCATGGTGTATATATGCCATATTTTCTTTTTTTTTTTTAATTTTTTATTGGATTATAGGTTTTGGGGTACATGAGCAGAGCATGCAAGACAGTTGCGTAGGTACACACATGGCAGTGTGCTTTGCTTTTCTTCTCCCCTTCACCCACATTTGGCATTTCTCCCCAGGCTATCCCTCCCCACCTCCCCCTCCCACTGGCCCTCCCCTTTTCCCCCCAATAGACCCCAGTGTTTAGTACTCCCCTTTCTGTGTCCATGTGTTCTCATTTTTCATCACCCACCTATGAGTGAGAATATGCGGTGTTTCATTTTCTGTTCTTGTGTCAGTTTGCTGAGGATGATGTTCTCCAGATTCATCCATGTCCCTACAAACGACACGAACTCATCATTTCTGATTGCTGCATAATATTCCATGGTGTATATGTGCCACATTTTTCCAATCCAGTCTATTATCAATGGGCATTTGGGTTGATTCCAGGTCTTTGCTATTGTAAACAGTGCTGCAATGAACATTCGTGTACATGTGTCCTTATAGTAGAACGATTTATAGTCTTTTGGATATATACCCAGTAATGGGATTGCTGGGTCAAATGGAATTTCTATTTCTAAGGCCTTGAGGAATCGCCACACTGTCTTCCACAATAGTTGAACTAATTTACACTCCCACCAACAGTGTAAAAGTGTTCCTTTTTCTCCACATCCTCTCCAGCATCTGTTGTCTCCAGATTTTTTAATGATCACCATTCTAACTGGCGTGAGATGGTATCTCAATGTGGTTTTGATTTGCATCTCTCACCAATGGAACAAAACAGAGGCACCGGAGGCAACACAACATACATACAACTATACAATCTTTGATAAACCTGACAAAAACAAGCAATGGGGAAAGGATTCCATGTTTAACAAATGGTGTTGGGAAAACTGGCTAGCCATGTGCAGAAAGCAGAAACTGGACCCCTTCCTGACACCTTACACTAAAATTAACTCCATATGGATTAAAGACTTAAACATAAGACCTGGCACCATAAAAACCCTAGAAGGAAATCTAGGCAAAACTATCCAGGACATAGGAGTAGGCCATATTTTCTTTATCTAGTCTATCATTATGGGCATTTTGGTTGGTTTGAAGTCTTTGCTATTGTAAATAGTGCTGTAATAAACATATGTTTGCATGTATCTTTATATTAGAATTATTTATAATCCTTTGGGTATATATCCAGTAATGGGATTATTGGGTCAAATGGTATTTCTTTTTAAAAACTATATGTATGTGTATGTGTGTGTATATATATATATATATATTTTTTTTTTTATTGCACTTTAGGTTCTAGGGTACATGTGCAGAACTTGCAGGATTGTTGTATAGGTACATATATGGCAATGTGGCTTGCTGCCTCCATCCCCATCACCTATATCTGGCATTTCTCCCCATGTTATCCCTCCCCAACTCCCTACTGCCCGCTGTCCCTCCCCTAGTCCACCCAACAGACCCCAGTGTGTGATGTTCCACTCCATGTCCATGTGTTCTCATGTGTTCACCCCCCTATGAGTGAGAACATAAACCGTCATTCTCAGCAAACTGACACAAGAACAGAAAGTCAAATACTGCATGTTCTCAAATGGCATTTCTGGTTCTAGATCTTTGAGAATCTTCACACTGTCTTCCACAATGGTTGAACTAATTTACACTCCCACAAACAGTGTAAAAGCATTCCTATTTCTCCACATCCTCTCCAGCATCTGTTGTTTCCTGACCTTTAAATGATCCACATTCTGACTGGCGTGGGATGGTATCTCTTTGTGGTTTTGATTTGCATTGATCTAATGACCAGTGATGATGAACTTTTTTTTCATATGTTTCTTGGTCACATAAATGTCTTCTTTTGAGAAGTGTCTGTTAATATCCTTTGCTTACCTTTTGATGTTTTTTTTTATTATTGTAAATTTGTTTAAGTTTCTTGTAGATTCTTGATATTAGACCTTTATCAGATAGATAGACAGCAAAAATTGTCTCCCATTCTCTAGGCTTCAGAAAGTGGGTAATAACAAACTCCTCTCAGCTAAAGGAGCATGTCCTAAGCCAGTGCAAGGAACCTGTTCATTCTTTTCTTAGGGAAGGGAACATCTTTCTTTGTAAGCCAATGTGAAAGGCTATGTATTAGCCTGACCAATAGGATGACTAGAAGGGGATTGATTAGTGAGTTGAGCTGTATAAGGAATAAACAGATTTGTAGTAATAAATACAAAGCACCTCTCTGGCAATAATCAAAGAAAAAAACTTCATTTTTTCCAATTCACATTTTTTTGGACTAATCATATGAAAATGTGGTGAAAGACATCAATATAAACATCATTCTATTTAACTTTTTTTTTAAGCTTATGCTAGGTGCAAGGGACTCAATGATCAGTAAGGAAATTTCCTTTACTCTGAAGACCTCACAGTTGAATGGAAATGACAGAGTTAGTGGCTATAATTATTAGTATAAATGTTTGTGCCTTTAGACATCATTCATCCAGGGATCATGTGAAAAACTACATCAGCTGATACCAGAGGTGACAGAGAAGTATACACTCTATAAGAACTGTAAATGTTTCTGAGATTTTTAGAACTGAGTTCAGTGTGTCTATGTATAAAGATTAACAGAAGTGTCATTTATTTTGAACTTATAGCATACATGTGAATACAAGAATGACATATATTTCTAAACATTTAATTACTTAATAAAAATATCAGAACTTTTAACAATTATAAAAATGGCTGAATTTTGCTTAGAAATCCTGAGAAACTATACAAAACGATTGAATTATTAGAGAAGATACCAGACTATAAAAATCAAATAAAATTCTGTGACAACTGATTTGGACAGGGAAAAATAAATAAGAAACGACATTAAAAGACTGTTTAAATATACTAGATGCAAATACTTTTAAACCAAGTGGAAAAATGTAAGGTAGGAAAATATATTTAAGTACTGCGAGAAGTTTGAATTTGCTTTCAGGCTGCAAGTAACTTTTGCTTTAACATATCCCTTATTGTCAAAAGAGAAATGTTTACTCAAAAGATAAATGTTCTAAAATTTATCATTTTAAACACCACTAATAAATTATGACATAAATATTAACTAAATGTGCTTTGATAGCTATTTTTAGGGGTATTTTTAAAGAGTTTTCTCATTGAGTGGTTTGATCATGAAGTTGTTAATCATTTACTAAAAATATATGAAGAAATAAAATTTATTAAGTCCTTTAGAATACCATGTTATTAAGGTCACTTAGAATGCCATGTTATTTGGAGTAGAAATGGATTTCCAGTAATTCCATATATCATATTAAACTAGAATTATACATTATAATCATTGTCTACAGATTAATTTATAGCTAGTTTAATGTGATGTGTGTCATTAGAGCCCTAAACTGAATGATGTCCTCAAGTTAATTATGTCATGTGGAATTACGGTCTTTACAATTGGTATGGGATAAAAAGCCCGGCCTGGATGTTCTGTGCCACTAACGAAGAAAATGATAATGGCTTGGAGTCTAAATACTGCCATTTTTTTTCAGGTGAAGTAAGAAGAACATGCCAGTTGATTTCTGTTTAAAAGTAAATAGATGGTGACTGTGAATTTGGGTTCACTGTTTCATGCTGAAAGGGGCTTCCTTAGTTTTAACTAATTACATTAATAGATTCTGTCAGATATAAAAGCCTGTCTCACTCTGCCTTTTAGGTTTCCTTTAATTCCTATATTAGACACAATTGGTAACGTTAATGCTGGAGTAAGAAGCAACTTCAAAAATTTTAGAAATTTGGCTTATAATTTTTTGCTCATACTACATGTCCAACATGGGCCAGCAGGGAGCTCTGCTTATCTCTAAACCAGGCTCAGAGCCACTCCATTACGACATAAGCTTCTGTGATGATACTAGCTGGAAGACAGGGTGAGCCTTACACTGGATCTTACAGCTACTGCCTGGAATTGACACTTCTGCTATCATTTCAGTGAAAATACTTGTCCAGCCCTAAGTTCAAAGTAAACAGGGAAAGGCACTTCTGCCATGTGCCTGGAAGGTAGCACAGCTGCTCACTCTGTGAGGTCTTAGACCTGGGTTGTTGCTGGCATGCCAGGGATGTATGTCATAGGTAACAAAAGAAAAGAAAATGCCTATGATTTATAATTTGTGATGAACAGTGGCCTCACTTTAATATACATCATTATCTTGTGAACAGTGTGTCTTCTTTAATAAGGTAGGATGTGTTAGATAAGTCATCTGGAGATAGTGACATTATCTTCCTTTATGTTAATAGGCAGAAATATCTCAGTGTCACCAGGACAAGAACAGATTCACAGACTGTTTTGAAATAGGAGTACACAGCTGAGCACAAGGTAGGCACTTTAAGAAAGAAAGAATCAAATCAGGTGTGTGACTGATTAAGCACGCAGTTCAAATTTAAGCCAGCTGCTTGGAATGAGTTGGGTTAAGTCAGAGTAGGAGGGTTGATATTGGGTAATCAGAACAAAACCAGCTGAAGGGCCAGCCATCTTTTTAGTAGGAGTAAGAATGCCTGCAAAGACTTGGACCTGCATGGGCAGAATGGAGGTAGGTCAGAGGCTGGTTTGGGACACTGGGACAGGCAAGTGTATAGTCAATTTGTTGATATTGAGAGAAGGTAATTAGATGAACAACACCACACTAAGCCTGATAATAGATTGCATCATTCCCAGAAGGCAAATTATGCAATTCCAGACTTATTGTTCGAGTAACACATCGGAGAGGAATACTTAGTAATCAACCAGTGAATAACACTCTGTGTAGGATATCTTAGCCTTTTCAAAATTTGCTAGTTTATCAGAGGTAAGAATGTGTTTTTTTTAGGTGCTGGAACTCTCCAAATTTGACTCAGGATGCAGAAACACTGCCTTAATGTGAACAAGAAAGTTCCTCAGGAGGTGAATAGGAATTGAATTCTTCAAATTCTTGTGGATGTGCTCACAGGAATGACGTATGTTTGAAACTCATAATTAGATAAAATTGAGAGACTTGGGATGAGTTTGAAAAAATACATTTGTCTCATAGAAACAACGTTTCATTAATGTTTGATTGGAATTCTTGAAGTTGATAATGTTTGAAGAGGTGAGTGATAGACCTGGATCAAAGTAAATATTATAATTTAAGACATTACACAGTCTACCTTTTTAAATTGAAAGATTTATCCCTCTCTTTGGTTTACCTGATCACACAGAACAGTGGATAAGGAATTTTGTTTTATATTCATATTATATAATATTATATAAAAACACTAAGTATGTAAGATAGCTTTTTTTTAACCATTCATGATTAAACCTATGTAACTGCTAATTTTCTCAAACAAGTTGACAGTTAATTGACTGATGGCAGAAGGAGAGAGGGTATCAGAACCAACTGGACAACAGCTCTCCCTTGAGAACAATAGCACCCCAATTTAATTTTTTACTAGTCACAGAAACAGAACCATTATTGCCCTTTTGCTCTTTGTATAATGGCGGTGGCATTAATTCTTAAGAAATCCTTTAAATCGCTCTTTAAACACACTGTTTCCCACAAAATTGGAAATGTTTGGTTGGTAAGAAATCTGTCTATATGATATTACATTTGTGGCTTTTAAAATAAGGATTCTGAATGAGAGTTTTGCATTGTGTAAACTTTTATGAAGACAAAACTACCTTGATATGATCACTCGATCTGGTCTTTAACTTATCCCTTCTGTAATTTTTCATCAATACATGCATGTTTGGTTCTTTTTTCTCTTTTTTTAAATTGGATTTTAGGTTTTGGGGTACATGTGAAGAACATGCAAGATAGTTGCATAGGTACACACGTGGCAGTGTGATTTGCTGCCTTTCTTCTCTTCACCTATATCTGGCATTTCTCCCCATGCTATCTCTCCCAACTCCCCACCTCCCGCTGTCCCTCCCCTATTCCCCCCCACACACCCCAGTGTGTAGTGCTCCCCTCCCTGTGTCCATGTATTCTCACTGTTCAACACCCAATTATGAGTGAGAACATGTGGTATTTCATTTTCTGTTCTTGTGTCAGTTTGCTGAGAATGATGTTCTCCAGATTCATCCATGTCCCTAAAAAAGACACGAACTCATCGTTTTTGATTGCTGCATAATATTCCATGGTGTATATGTGCCACATTTTCCCAGTCCAGTCTATCATTGATGGGCATTTGGGTTGAATCCAGGTCTTTGCTATTGTAAACAGTGCTTCAATGAACATTTGTGTGCATGTGTCCTTATAGTAGAATGATTTATAGTCCTTTGGATATATACCCAGTAATGGGATTGCTGGGTCAAATGGAATTTCTGTTTCTAGGTCCTTGAGAAATTGTCACACTGTCTTCCATAATGGTTGAACTAATTCACACTCCCACCGGCAGTGTAAAAGTGTTCCTATTTCTCCACATCCTCTCCAGCATCTGTTGTCTCCATTTTTTTTAATGATCGCCATTCTAACTGGCGTGAGATGGTATCTCAATGTAGTTTTGATTTGCATTTCTCTAATGACCAGTGATGATGAGCATTTTTTCATATGTTTGTTGGCCTCATGTATGACTTCTTTTGTAAAGTGTCTGTTCATATCCTTTGTCCACTTTTGAATGGGCTTGTTTTTTCTTGTAAATCTCCTTTAGTTCTTTGTAAATTCTGGATATCAGCCCTTTGTCAGATGGATAAACCGCAAAAATTTTTTCCCATTCTGTTGGTTGCCGATTCACTCTAATGACTGTTTCTTTTGCTGTGCAGAAGCTGTGGAGTTGGATTAGGTCTCATTTGTCTATTTTGGCTTTTATTGCCAATGGTTTTGGTGTTTTGTTCATGAAGTCCTTGCCTATTCCTATGTCCTGAATGGTTTTGCCTAGATTTTCTTATAGGGTTTTTATGGTGTTAGGTTTTATGTTTAAGTCCTTAATTTATCTGGCGTTAATTTTAGTGTAAGGTGTCAGGAAGGGGTCCAGTTTCTGCTTTCTGCACATAGCTAGCCAGTTTTCCCAACACCATTTATTAAACAGGGAATCCTCTCTCCATTGCTTATTTTTGTCAGGTTTATCAAAGATTATATGGTTGTAGATATGTTGTGTTGCCTCGGATGCCTCTGTTCTGTTCCATTGGTCTATATCTCTGTTTTGATACCAGTACCATGCTGTTTTAATTACTGTAGCCTTGTAGTATCATTTGAAGTCTGGTAGTGTGATGCCTCCCGCTGTGTTCTTTTTACTTAGAATTGACTTGGCTATGCGGGCTCTCTTTTGGTTTCATATGAAGTTTAAGGTGTTTTTTTCCAGTTCTGTGAAGAAGGTCATTGGTAGCTTGATGGGATAGCATTGAATCTGTAAATTACTTTGGGCAGTATGGCCATTTTCACGATATTGATTCTTCCTAACCATGAACATGGAATGTTTCTCCATCTGTTTGTGTCCTCTCTTATTTCGTTGAGCAGTAGTTTGTAGTTCTCCTTGAAGAGATCCTTTACGTTCCTTGTGAGTTGTATTCCTAGGTATTTTATTCTCTTTGTAGCAATAGTGAACGTCAGTTCGTTCTTGATTTGGCTCTCTTTCAGTCTGTTATTGACGTATAGGAATGCTTGTGATTTTCCACATTGATTTTGTATCCTGAGACTTGTTGATGTTGCTTATCAGTTTCAGAAGATTTTGGGCTGAGACGATGGGGTCTTCTAGATATACTATCATGTCGTCTGCAAATAGAGACAATTTGGCTTCCTCCTTTCCTATTTGAATACCCTTTATTTCTTTTTCTTGCCTGATTCCTCTGGCTAGAACTTCCAGTACCATATTGAATAGGAGTGGTGAGAGAGGGCATCCTTGTCTAGTGCCAGATTTCAGAGGGAAATCCTTGTCTAGTGCCAGTTTTTGCCCATTCAGTATGATATTGGCTGTTGGTTTGTCATAAATAGCTTTTATTATTTTGAGATATGTTCCATTAATACTGAGTTTATTGAGGGTTTTTAGCATAGGGGCTGTTGAATTTTGTCAAAAGCCTTCTCTGCATTGATTGAGATAATCATGTGTTTTTTTTGTTTTTGGTTCTGTTTATGTGGTAAATTAGGTTTATAGACTTGCATATGTTGAACCAGCCTTGCATCCCTGGGATGAATCCTACTTAATCATGGTAGATAAGCTTTTTGATGTGCTGTTGCAATCGGCTTGCCAATATTTTACTAAAGATTTTTGCATCTATATTCATCATGGATACTGGCCTGAAGTTTTCTTTTCTTGTTGAGTCTCTGCTGGGTTTGGTATCAGTATGATGTTGGTTTCATAAAATTATTTGGGAAGTATTCCCTCTTTTTGGATTATCTGGAATAGTTTCAGAAGGAATGGTAACATTTCTACTTTTTGTGTTTGGTAGAATTCGGCTGTGAACCCCTCTGGACCTGGGGTTTTCTGTGTGGTAGGCTCTTAATTGTTGCCTCAACTTCAGATCTTGTTATTGGTCTATTCATAGTTTCGACTTCTTCCTTGTTTAGGCTTGGGAGGACACAAGTATCCAGAAATTTGTCCATTTCTTCCAGGTTTACTAGTTTATGTGCATAGAACTGTTTCTAATATTCTCCAATTATGGTTAGAATTTCTGTGGGATCTGTGGTGATTTCCCCTTTATCATTTTTATTGCATCTATTTGGTTGTTCTCTTTTCTTTTTTAGTAATCTGGCTAGTGGTCTGTCTATTTTGTTGATCTTTTCAAAAAACCAGCTACTGGATCTATTGATTTTTTGAAGGGATTTTCATGTCTCTGTCTCCTTCATTTCTGCTCTGATCTTAGTTATTTCTTGTCTTCTGCTAGGTTTTGAGTTTTTTTGATCTTGCTCCTCTAGCTCTTTCAATTTTGATGATAGAGTGTCAATTTTGGATCTCTCCTTTTTTCTAATGTGGGCACTTATTGCTATATATTATTCTCTAGAAACTGCTTTAAATGTGTCCCAGAGATTCTGGTATGTTGTGTCATCGTTCTCATTGGTTTTGAAGAACTTCTTTATTTCTGCCTTCATTTCATTGTTTATCCAGTCGACATTCAAGAGCCAGTTTTTCAGTTTACATGAAGCTGTGCAGTTCTGAGTTAGTTTCTGAATTCTGAGTTCTAATTTGATTGCACTGTGGTCTGAGAGACTGTTTGTTATGATTTTCGTTCATTTGCATTTGCTGAAGAGTGATTTACTTCGAATTATGTGGTCAATTTTAGAGTAGGTGTGATGTGGTGCTGAGAAGAATGTATATTCTGTGGATTTGGGGTGGAGAGTTCTGTAAATGTCTATCAGGTTTGCTTGTTCCAAGTCTGAGTTCAAGCCCTGGATATTCTTGTTAATTTTCTGTCTGGTTGTTCTGTCCAATATTAACAATGGAGTGTTAAAGTCTCCCACAATTATTGTGTGGGAGTCTCAGTCTCTTTGTAAGTCATTAACAACTTGCCTTCTATATCTGGGTGCTCCTGTATTGGGTCCATATATATTTAGGATCATTAGCTCTTCTTGTTTTGTCGATCCTTTTACCATTATGTAGTGTCCTTCTTTGTCTGTTTTGATCTTTGTTGTTTTAAAATCTGTTTTATCAGACGAGAATTGCAACTCCTGCTTTTTTTTGCTCTCCATTTGCTTGGTAAATCTTCCTCCATCCCTTTAATTTGAGCCTTTGTGTATCCTTGCATGTGAGATGGGTTTCCTGGATACAGCACATCAATGGGTTTTGGCTTTTTTCCAATTTGCCAGTCTGTGTCTTTTGATTGGTGCATTTAGCCCATTTACATTTAGGGTTAATATTGTTATATGTGAATTTGATACTGCCATTTTGATGCTAGCTGGCTGGTTTGCCCATTAGTTGATGCAGATTCTTCATTTTGTTGATGCTCTTTACCATTTGGTATGTTATTGGAGTGGTTGGTACTGGTTATTCCTTTCTATATGTAGTGTCTCTTTCAGGAGCTCTTGTAAAGCAGGCCTGGTGGTGACAAAATCTCTGAGTACTTGCTTGTTCACAAAGGATTTTATTTTTCCTTCACTTATGAAACTTAGTTTGGCTGGATATGAAATTCTGGGTTGAAAGTTCTTTTCTTTAAGGATGTTGAATATTGGCCCCCACTCTCTTCTGGCTTGTAGTGTTTCTGTCGAGAGATCGGATTTGAGTCTGATGGGCTTCCTTTTGTGGGTGATCCGACCTTTCTCTCTGGCTGC